GTAAACAATGAATGGCACTCTATTTTATGAGCTTACCGAGAAGGTACTAGTAAGCTGTGACTTTGCTGACTTGCACCTGGGAGGTAGAAGAAGCTATTTTTTTTTTCTTTAACTTTTCCATTGAGTTAGATTTGCTGTAAGTATGTTGTTAGGGATTTGTTGTTTGGAAGCGACGAGAGGAGTAAAATCAGTTGCAATCCATCTGCATGCGACAGCAAACCTTGGGGCTGTTCTTGATTTTAGTAATCATGTAATGGAGTAGAACTTACACTCTGAGAGTGCTCATTACACTGAAGCTTGAAATGAAACACATCTTCTTGATTGAGCCTGCCAGAACTGCTTTTATGTTTTACTTTCCTTCCACCTGTTGGTTTAACAAAGAAACTAAATATTAAGTCTGAGTGCTCATACTCTTAGTTTTAATATTCTTACTTTGAAAGCCCATTAAATTATTCCCGCTCTTATCAGGTAAAACACAGGGTACCCAGTTAAATTGGAGTTCAAGTAAACAACACACACACACACACACACACACACACACACACACACACAGCTGAATGCTCACCCCAGTCTCCCTTCTCCACATGTCACAAACAATCCATGTGTATAATCTTCCAGGAAGAAGAGTGATGTATTTAAACTTTTGAAATGACATCCAATTCAGTGTTCCTAGGATTTGATTTTAGTTAAATTGTTTTGAGTTATGATTCAGGAGAGTTTGCCTTTAATTGCTTTGGGATAGCATGCATTTTTTTTTCAAACTGGGGCCTTATATGTGGCCCAGGTCTTAAACTTGTTAGGGATGCCAGACTGTCTTTGAACTTTGTGATTTATGGACCTCATCCTCCTGAGTGCTGGTATCACAGGCTTGCATCATGCCCAGCAAAGGGTATGTTGTATGTGGTAACCTTAGTGAATTATTCTTTACAAGCTATATTATAAAACCATCTCCCTCTTCAGGGAGAACATTTTATTGATTTGCTATTTGTACTTTATTTTGAGATAGGGTCCTGCTATGTAGCCTGTACTGGCCCGAAACTCCTAGGTTTAACTGATTCTCTGGGTAAACAAACATCTACTTGTCCCAGATAGGGAACCAGTGACACACCAAAATAAGAAAACTACCAAAGTCCATCTTGGTGAGTGAACCAGTAAGTTTTATTGGGGTTCCTTACAGGAGCAGCAATGACTCAAAGACAGCTGTGTCACCAAAGCCTGCCCCAGCATGGCTGACAGCTCTCAGAAACTGGAACTCTGAAGTACACTGCACAACCTGCAGGCAGTTCAGTAGGTTGGAGGGTGTCCTCTCCAGGTCGTGTAATTTGTCTGAGCCTCTTCTAGGCAGCTCAGCTGTTTGGAGGGTCCTTAGAAGCAGTCCTTAGAATTGCTATATGCTTGGGGTGTGGGGAGCTAGTTTATCTGATCAATTGCAGGGTCTCTCTGAAGCTATTGTTGATTGTTTAGCATAACCACCTTCCCTGCAAGATGGAATCTCTCCTTTCCCTTGATAACACCCTGTTGTTTCACCACTCCTTTCACATCCCGTCTCTTAACAAGTTTTCTTCCAAGATGGAAGGTTTCAGTCTCTGAGGAAACTGCTACAAAACATCCCCCTGCTTTAATCCCCCAATAGTTAGACTTACACCTGGTATGGTAGCTTGAATGAGAATGGCCCTCCTAGGTTTATAGGTTTGAATATTTGGTTCCCAGTTGGTGGATTATTTAGGAAGGATTAGTGTGTGTCACTGGGGGCTGGACTTTGAGGTTTCAAAAGCCCATACCAGGCCCAGTCCCAGTCCCAATCCCAGTCTCTGTCTCTGTCTCTGCCTCTGTCTCTCCCTCTGTCCCTCCCTCCCTCCCTCTCTCCCTCCCCCCTCACTCACTCTCACTCTCCTGAATCAACAGGAAGCTCTCAGCCAATGCTCCAGCACCATGGCTGTCTGTTTGCCCCCATGCTCCCAGTCAGTCTTGGACTGACCCACTGAAATTATAAGCAAGCTCCCAGTTAAATGCTTTCTTTTATAAGTTGCCTTGTTCACGGTGTCTCTTCATTGCAACTGAGACACCTGGCATCCAGTTTTTGTTTTGTTTTGTTTTGTTTGAGATAGGATTTCCTTATGTAGTGCAGTGTTACCTCAACTCACTGTGCAGTTTAGGATGAACTCAAACTTTTGATCCTCCTGTGTCAGCCTTCTGAGTGCTGAGATGACAAGTCTAAAATACCTTACCTGGATATCTGGCGATTGTAAAATACTATCTAGACAGTCTTACTTAACAAATAGGGAAATTTTGCTTTTAGATACTCCATGTTAAAGTGAATATTTGGTTTCTGGTATGAATCTTGTTTCCATGTGAAAATTACATTTTAAAATGGTCATCATGTTGCTATAGTATGTAACATGTGTATTTAAGGGGAGACTGTTTAGACAAGTAAATATTCTTAGATATAGTTATGTCTTCATTGTTGGACATGTTCAGATCTTATATAATTTAAAATATCGCAGTTAATATTAGTTAGTTCCATGCTTTGGATTCTTATTGCTTGGATATTCCTGCTTCTTTATTTTTAGTTGTGAGCCTAGCCTCTAATGGCTGAGGCATCACTACAGCCCTGGATATTCTTGTTTATTGAAGTATGTGATACTCCATTACTTAAGTATATTTTAGACTACTCTAGGATCTGGGTGTGGTGGCACATGCCTTTAATTCCAGCACTTGAAGGCAGAGGGATCTTTGAGTTTGATGCTAGCCTGGTCTATATAGGGAGCTCCAAGACAGGCAAGAACGTGTGTCTATGTTATTTTGCTTTATGGCAGTTTTACATTATATTATTTTAGCCTGTTCTTAGAAGATGGTTGATATTTTACAAAGTTTTGTTTCTATGGGACAAGATTTTTTGAATGGTTTTGAAATAATGTGAATAATTATGTTTTGAAACAAAGTGTATGGGGTATAATACTGGTGTCTAGTTTCCATGAAAACATTTTAAAACAAATTATTCAGACTAGTATTGGGCCCAAAGGAAGAACTGAGAGAATACAGGCACCTTGATCCATCTGATATGAAAATTCTGTTTTTGTGAAACTATTTTCAACAGTGTTAAGAATTTCAACATGATGTTGAAGACCAGTGTGAATTAAAAAAAAAAAATGTAATCACTTTATTGTATCTAGCTTTACTTTAATTTCTAAATTGATGTAAAGTAAATAGTATGAGTTGAAGTCTGTCTGAAATATCAGAAGGCAAGATAGTAATTACTGTTTATAGTGGAATAACTTGGAACAGTGAATGATTTCATTTGTAAATCAAATAACTGTCAAGAGAAGGCAATTCCTATTAGATTTTCAGTGTGTACTTTTTGTAGAATATAGTGCTTATTATGCAAAGGTTATCAGCTGAAGCTGATTTTTTGAGAGAGAGGGTATGAAAAATTTTAAAATGTCTGATTCCAAAGTAAAATAACAGGTGTGATATCTCTGATCACTTTACTTGTTATACCTTCTTTGTGTAATAAGTTGATGTGTGAAAGACATGTTGTCAAGTATATCATAGGGTATTTCTTTAAGAGACTTCAGACTGGCCGGGCAATGGTGGTTCATACCTTTGATCTCAGTGCTGGGGAGGCATTAGCATGCAGGTTGCTGTGAGTTTGAGGCCAGCCCCGTCTATAGAGTGAGCTCTAGGACAGCTAGGACTGTTACACCGAGAAACCCTGTCTCAAACAAAACGAAACAAAAAACAAAAAGAAAAAAAAGAGAACTTCAGACTTGGTGGCTTGGGAGATGGCTTAATGGTTAAGAGTACATGCTGCTCTTGCAGATGATCCTGGTTCTGATACCAGCACCCACATGGTAGTTCCTAACCACCTGTAATTCTAGTTCCAGGGAATCAGATGCCTTTTTCTTGCCTTCATAGGTTTCAGGCATGTACATGCTGCACAGACATACATTCAGGTAAAACACTCATGCATGAATAAAATAAATATGAAAAATGTAAGGAAGTGCATTAAGTTTCTAAAGTAACCTGAAAACGACAAGAGTTTCCTTCCCTCTTCAACGTGTGTTTTGGTTGCTGAGGCAAATTTGCATAGGTACTGCATCAAGAGCAGTACATGTTTTTTAATAGTTTTCTGCTTCTCACTTCATTGACAGGTAGGTATGTTTTGAAAATGAGTTATATAAGTGAAAGACAGTGGTCTCGTTTGAAAACAGCAGTACGTGTAACAGAACCCATTTTAGATGTCATCTCTACATGTATAGGGGTGGTGTGTGTGTGTGTGTGTGTGTTTGTAGAATTTTTGATTCTAGAAAATAGACTGTCTAAAGGCTACAAACCTATATTCTTGCTATTGCTTAATCATGTCCATAGTTTAGGGAATTAATATCTACACTATGATAGAGCTGTGGTCACTGTAAGAAACACACTCTTATTTGTAGCTGGTATATTTTATTGTTAAGGCTTCATTGGAAACCAGGAACAAGTTATAAATGATCTGAGAAAGAGGGCTTAGAAATTAAGTTACACATTTCTGAAAGTAGTGATCAAAACAGGAGACTGATAATCCCCAAAAGGACTAGAGACAAAGTAGATGGGTTACTTACCTCTATTGTGTGCCTAGATAGCAGGGTGAATGGGGGGCATGGTGGAAAAAGCTAGTTTTCTTACTGTAAAGTTTCTTCTCAAGATGAGCTTGTAGCATTGCTGTCATTTTCCCATTTTCCATGGGATCTTTGTTTTCTGACAGCTCAATGGAAATCACATGATCTTCAGTTCCTATCTCAAATATTGATATCAAGTAATCACATAATCTTTTCCAATAATGCTTATGAAGTCATCTCATTTTAATGTCTGTATCCTAGTAAAAATATATTATACAAGTAAGCATTTCAGCTTTTAGTATTAATAGGTCTTAATTTTGGTATTACCAAGTGTATTAAGTTATATTTTACCCTGAAGCTCTCTAATTTAGACTAAAACTTGTACTTTTTTTTTTTTTTTAGGACAGCCAGTAGAGGGGATTTCATGTTTTCTGCGGATCGTTTGGTAGGTGGAGACTTTCCATTTTCATTTCATTGTTGTATGCAGTGATATAATCCTGGTAGGTCAGGGGGCTTTTTCGTTGTGGAGCATTCTGGGGTTGAGAGAGATTATACTGAATAATCATCGTCTTGCTAGGCTTGAAGGCTCTTGAAGTGTTCTTTCCACTGTAGCATTAAAGCACTGCCATTCTTAGACGGATTGGCAGTCTGGTTCTCAGCAACACACAAAATCTCAGGGCAATGAATTGAAGTACATTAGGAGAAAACTAAATATGTTCTTAGACCTAACATTCATACCTGTGTATCATCAGCTAATGTGCAAAAACTAGTGCATTTTCTTTTGTAGTTTACAATGTGAATTGTATTTGTTTTGATTCGTCCCTGTGATATATTCACAATATGAAATTCTAAGTTGGAGTGCATTCCCCTTCTTTAAAGGCATCCTATTAAGTCCTTACATAGTTGGTGTCATATCAGATGATCTCAGGCCGAATTGCTTTACCACAGATTTTTATTCTTGTGTTGATACCTAAGTATCCATCATTCTTTGAATGAAATTGATAATTAATTGCTAAGACTAATACTCTTCATTAATGAAAATTAATACTGGGTATATATTAGACTCTGCACTGGGCTATTTTGGGAGGGAGGAGGTAAGGCAGTTGGGAAAATAGATATTGTCCCTGATCTTGTGGAATTTACTATCTTAACATTGTTGTCAGTACTTAGCTTAAGAAAGAAATGTGACTTATTAACCTTGCGGGTATAATCAAATCATAGAAAAAGAGGAAAGGAAATGTGAGAAAAAGGTATAAAACTTTTAATTTTGATCTTTTTCTAGAGCATATATTCTGAAAGAGTATAGGCAAATCCTTTTCTGCTTTTGGCTTTAAATATTCTTGGTTGAGAGACCCAATTCTGTTTAAACTTATTTTGATTTCCATGGGCAGTAATAGTCATTGGTAGCAGCAAGAGAAATATGGTTGGCATTCCTGGGGCAGTAGCCGTTGTCTTTCATGTTTTCTTTTGTGTGTGTATGTGTGTGTTTGTGGAGAGGTGTATGTGGGTGCTTGCATGTAGAAATCAGAGGTTAACCTTGCGTTTGTTGGCCAGACATCAGTTTAGGTTGCTTCTCAGAAGCCATCTACTTCATTTTTTTCAGATGAGGTTTCACACTGGGATCTGGGGCTTGCCAGTTAGGCTAGTCTGGCTGGCCAGAGATCTTCCTGTCACTAGGCTATAAAGTGTTTACTACCACTTGGCTTTTTATAAGGCTTCTAGAGATTGAACCTAGGTCTTTATGTTTATAAGGCAAATATTAATCACCAATTGAGTCATCTCTCCGGCCTTCTTTTATGTTTTCAGCAAAAACAACCAAGCAAACTAAAAAAAATCAAACCCAATTTTGAGTCATTATGAAGTCCCACCTGAATGGCTGCTGACCAGAGAGTAAGAGTCTCTGTTCTCTGGTGTAAAATCGTTCATCTTCCTTTTGTTTCCATTGTGCCTTCCTTCTTTCCCTCCTTCCTTCTTTCCTTCCTTCCTTCCTTCCCCCTCTCTTTCTTTTTGAGACATTTTTTTTTTCAGAATAGCCTCAGAATTCTTGGCTCAGGCATTCCTTCTGTCTCAGCTTCCCAAGTAGCTGGGACTATATGCCTAATGACAAATGCATATATTTCTTTCTGTTATAGAAAGTAGGAGTCAAGTTCATGGATGTTCTAAAATGCTTCTGTGAAATAACAGGCATTATATCCTAGCTAAATGAGATGCATGGCATACTTCACCTAGGATATGGTAATTTGGACTTCTCCATTCTTTGTAGTTGGCTTTGAAGGACCGGTGATGGGGTGGGGTTGGAAGGTATGTTGTGGTTGTGGTAGCAACTGCAACTGTTTATATTTTTATTGTTGAAGATTTCTAGTACACCATCTCCTCAACACAAGGATTCCACCTCTTAAAGTGGGTAACTGATGTCATCCTGAGTTTGTCAAGAGTTGCTTCCTGTAGCTCTTTACATTTTAATTATTTCTGGGAGTGGTGCATATTGAACTGAGGGCCTTCAGTATACTAAATCCATACTGTACCACTGAACTACATCCCACCCTTTAAAGGGATTCTAGTTTTTGCTCTCCCCTAAATTAGAGACGCTAATCTCCATACCTGTTTATATATTTTTATTTATTCTTTGAAAATTTCATATATGTATATAATGTACTTTTCACATCCACCCCTAATTCCTCCTCAAACCCCTCTCAGATTCTCCCAGTCAGCTTCATATCCTCTTTCTTTTCATAGCCCAATGAGTCTAATTTATGCTACTGGCATGCCCCGGGTGCGAGGCCATCCACTGTAGTATGGTCAGCATTTCAGTGGGTCACACCTCTAAAAAAAGCTGACTCTCCCTCCTTCAGAAGTCATCATCTGCCAATAGCTCCTCAGTTGGGGTGGGGCCTTGTGAGCTCCCCCTTCCATGTATACAGAGTATCGATTGGCTTGATCTTGTGCCTGTCTTGTATAAGCAAATACAGCTTCAGTGACTGTGCAGTGGCCCTGCCATGTCCAGAAAACAATATTTTACGGCAGTCCTTTCCCACCTCTGGCTCTTACACAGACGATAATTTCTGGCTAATGTCCCAGAGTTTTAGGGGATGGGGCAGGAAACAAGGCTTGTTTGAGGTATGTCCCTAGAGGAAAGAGATATAGGATTTTCAAAGAAAAAAATCCTTTCTTATAATTTCCTCCTAAGTAAACATAAATAGCCAAAGGTGGTAGCTAGCAGCGAGTGTGCTCTTGCATACACTATTCAAAGGGTTTCCCGGCTCATTCTTAGATTCTGCAGGGAGACAAAGTGATGGGCCATTTCCGATTGATCCTTTTAATGGCAGCAGGGTGATGTGTTGTGATAACAGAACGAAGCATCACACTTCTCCCTGCTGTTCCTGGTTCTCAATCATTAATGTAATATTGATTGGGGAAAATGTGCACTACAGGCTCAACACTGCCTTTGTTAGAGTGGGCTCTGGTTGCTCATAGCGCACTGTGAGGGGCTGTGTCTAGTAATTTTGAGTGAGTCTTCCTCTCATAAAACTTTGTTTTAAAAGTTTGAAAATATGTATTTGTGTGTGAATGCATGTGTATGTGTGCACAAACCTGCTCATACTGCTGTGGGTGCATGTGAAAGTCACAGTACACGTTGGGACTCAGTTCTGTCCTTCTGCCATCTAATTAGCCTCCATAGTACTTTTCTTAAGCTGAAAAGTCCCAAGATACTCCACTGGGTTCTCCTTCAGACCTAGTAAATTGCTTCAGCTCAACTACTTATTTTCTCACAAGGGCTTTTAGGTTTTATTTGCATTATGGTGGACCTTTGTTAAAAATGAATAGGAATTCATTTTTAAATTTCAAAGATTTCAAAGGTACTAAGCAAGGTAGAGAATTCTAGGTGGACATTTTTTCACAGTAACCCATAATTTTATTACTACTGATGGTGTGTTTGCCATAAGCCTTGTTGAAGTTTTGTACCTCTCATATTCTTGACTGACTTAGAATGCATGCTGGAGCCCTTTGGTGACAGTCATGTGTCAAATGGAGGGTGGCATTTAGATGTGTCCCTGTAGTTATTAATACATGGGGGGGACCCTTCTTTACTCCATAAGCTAAGACCTCAGCTCCAGAGGCTAGCAGCTATCAGGAGGCTCTGAAGGCCCTCAACTTATTCTTTCTTTGACTTTCTAGATCAGACTTGTTGTAGAAGAGGGACTGAATCAGCTGCCATATAAAGAATGCATGGTGACCACGCCAACAGGTAACTAGGGCTTGCACTCTCAACTCTTCGTCATAAAAAGAAATCCAGAATTAGAGTGGGGGAGGAAAATGGAAGGAAGGCGTTCTGTTTAAAATCAGTGTGAAAAATGAGTTTAGGTAGAGCTGTTTTTTTTTTTTTTTTTTAAGCATCTTTAAAATCTAAGAGACATTTGTGAAGAAGTCTATGTAGGTGACTTTTTGTTAATGGCTTGCTTGTCAATTCAAGTTAAAGGTTATTACATACTCTTCAGCCTGCAGGTGTTGCTTCTGATGGCAGCCCACCGGGACCAGAGTTAAGAATTGCTGGCAGCTTATCTTCACCTCTGTGGGGAAGCCGCTGGTGCTAACAAATGCAGGAGACTGCTTTGGCATAGAAACTCCAGGTTAAAAAAAAAGATGAGATGTGAAAAAGGGAAAGAAAACTAAAAATGATAAGATTTGAAGAATGTTCTTTGTTCTAATAAAAAATAGCCTACAATCCCCCTTTCAGAGATTTGAAATTCTGATTTGGATTTTTTTTAATAAATGGTGGAAAACTCTTCTCTTCAAAGGGTTGACTATGAACAATTGAGGGCTGAGTTTGTTGCATCATAATTGACACAATTCAGAGCGAGACCTAAGATTTGAGTAGCTTGATAGCCATTTCAGCCTCTTTCTTCTGCTTTTAAGGAAGAATGAAGGCTCATGAGAGGGGATGGAATGAGGAGCCTTTCTGCTGTGGCTCTCAGTGGGCCTCCATGTGAATTGATGGGGTATCTAGTATTCATGGGCGGCAGTAATTCTCCTTTGAATTCAATTTGGAGGATGTGTATGTGAATATTGTGCTATAATAAGTTCAGTTCCCACTTGATGAAACCCTCCTCTCCCAATTATTCTCACAGGTTTCTTCTGAGGGATTAAGAAATCACTATGAAAAATCATCATTCACTACTTTCACAGGAAACCCAAGGTGTTATACAGTGTGTCTGGGCAAGGGGCTTTCTCTCTACTCATCTGCTTTGAACCACGAGCATCTTATAGAATATGCACATTGCTGCAATGATAAGGCATCTATTTTTTTTTATTTTATTTCTCAACAGGGCACAAGTATGAAGGAGTGAAATTTGAGAAAGGAAATTGTGGGGTCAGCATAATGAGAAGCGGTAGGTTTGCATGTGTATGATTTTGTTTCTTTGCATGCATGGAAACGGTTGCTATTTTCCAGGATAAAGGCGGGCTGGCTTGTCATAATTGCATCCTGCCTTTGCTTAAATCTCACCACCTGTGTTGCCTATCTTCATGGTGCCTTGGAGTCGTGGCCTATGTGCTGCTAAGTTTGGCTAATTGTAATTGCAGGCATCTTCCCTAGTGGCCTTGCCCCCAAGAGCAAGCCAGCTTTTAAAATGCCTCAAAGGAGGGTGGGAGGATAGCAGGAAGGGAGGACTGTCTTGGGGAGAATGGTTTGCAGACTGAAGGAATGTGGCATAAATTCAATTCTTTCTGAAAAAGAACATTTGGATACCTGGCTGGAAAAGATGCCTCCTCAGATTTTGTCTGTGTTTCAGGGAACTCTGCCAAAAGCTGGACTTATTTAATAGTTGACATTTTATATTCTATGAAAAGGTGACTACATAGGCAAAAGTGCCTAGCTGTCATTAGCTCAAGATAGTTCCACTTGCTGATCTTACCCATTTTGTATTAGTGCTTTGAGTCCAACTGATCATCCTAACAATTTTGGTGCAGCAAAACAAAATGGCGTGTTTGTGAATGAGAATATGTACCCGTTACACAGGAATGATTTCTCTTCAGGAAACTGAACTTTGGTTTGGTTTTTTTTTTTTCACAAGAGCTGGAAGCCTCTCTTGTTTGCACTGGAAACAGATGGATTTTTAAAACATGTAAACATCAATTTTTCTCTTACTCTCGTTGTGTTTGTGAACAATTGAACATATCAATTACAAAGGGAGCTTTAGGCTCTGTTCTTACAGGAAGTAGCTCTTAAGCAATGAAAGCATTCTCAGGATAGTGGTGTTCAGCATTTGAAGCTGTTGAACACATGGATATAGTTTCTTCTCAGCTCTGAGGGTACCAGCTTCTCAGAGAGTACCAGCTTGTTCCTTGCACCTCTGATGGTTTTCTGTTGGCTTAGTGGCTGCACATGTTTCTACTGATATTCTAGTTATCATCTGCAGCCCCATGACCCCTCAGTTAGTGCTCCGCCAGCCACTCAGGCCTTGGCCTGGTGGAGCTTCTGGTCCCATGGACCTGTCCATAATATGTAGGTTTTAATTAAATCTCTGTTGTTTTGTTTATCAGTAAGACTCAGAAGTCAAAGGCTGGGGTGAAAACCTGCTATCTCAGAGAGGCTGACCTTGCTTTTTGGCCAGAGACACCGTAAGAGACAAGTCTCTTCCATCTTCCCATAACCAAAAGGAAGCTCAAACTCCAGTCTCTGCCTTTTCCTTACTGTCTGTCTTCTCTATCAAAATTGATGACTTCTCTGTGGCCAGTTTTTGTCAGTTAGTCCCTGGCTCTGCCCCTGATTCAAGGTATAGCTTTTTTGGGCAGTCTCAGGAGTGTCAGACTGTGATCAGAATATCCCACAACACATCTCTAATGTTTACCAGATGATTCTGTAACATAAAGGCTGAGTTGAGAGGATTTTGGGTTTTGTTTTGTTTTTGTCTTTTGTGTTTTGGTACTATGGATTTAATCAGAATCTTGTACATGTTATACACAAACTATTACCATCAAACTCCATCCCCAACTTTGACATAGTTATTTTTATTCTTATAAACCACTTGTTTATTGTATATATTTCTAGAAGAAACTGGTCATGTGTTTACACTAATGCACTAAAATTTCCTCCTAAATTTAAATGAAAAGTTAATTTTAAGAACAGATTAAGTAAATACCAGAATTTCAAAGTAATGCAAAATCTTGAATACTGCATGTGACTTTTGGAAAATACTTCCTCTAAGGAATTCAGACTCCGAAATAGCCCTGTATTTGGGGACTGGAGAGATGTCTCTGTGGTTAAATCACCTACCACACAAGTGTGAGAAATGAAGTTTAATTAAGTGGGTCAGCCTACCTGTACTTCCAGTACTCAGAAGGCACAGGCAGGGATCCCAGGAGTAAGATGGTTAGCCAGATAGTCATATCAGGAAGCCCTAGGTTCAATTGAGAGATCTTGCCTCAAAGAATAAGATGGAGAGTGATTGAGGAAGATTCCCGAAGTCCACCTTGAGCTTCCACATGCATGCATACACATGTGTGCCCATATATATGTGAACATGCCTACAATCATTACACACACACAGGCACATTAAAAATGTAGCTTGTGTTTAGTAACCAATGGAGTGGGGGTCAGGTTGGCTCTATGGGGAAGGGAGACCAACATGCAACTCTTTCACTATTTGCAGAGAAATGTTTATCAGTGAAGTCATTGTTGAACTAAGTGATGAATCCTTGCCACTTTTATCTAAAAGGAAATATTTTGGTCTACAGCCCCCTCTCTTTCATATTTTTCTTAGATGAAAGTGACAAATTTAGTTGGCTTAAAATCTTCTTTAAAAATAGTAAGAGGAAAAGTATCTCTGCAGAAAGAATCTCAAGGAACGGCCCAGTCAAGCTTTTATTTCCGTAAGCATGGAAGCAGAACAACTCCATAGCTTGTAAGCAAGCAATAAGTCTAGCTTATTGTGGTTTCATTGACAAGCCTTTCATCTGCGTTCATTGAATTCCTACTAAGAATAAAATATGGGCAGAGTAGTGAAAGAAGAATGCTTCTGTCTTGATAGTGCTCTTTTTGTATTAGTAGAGGTGAAATACTCTGCTTTGGCCTGTTCTTGGATTTGCACTCTGTCTGCTGCAACCCTTTTGTCCCTGATTCCTTTTCATTTCCTTCTTCAAGGTGAGGCAATGGAACAAGGTTTACGAGACTGCTGTCGATCCATACGAATTGGGAAGATCCTGATTCAGAGCGATGAGGAGACACAAAGGGCCAAGGTGTATTATGCCAAGTTTCCCCCAGACATCTGTCGCAGAAAAGTCCTTCTGATGTATCCAATTCTCAGTGAGTGACTTGAATTGCATTTGTAATTTTTTGTTGGAGTTTAAATTCAAGTTAGTGTCTACCTCCTACGCACCCTTATATAAAAGGCAAAAACCGTTTCTAAATGTGTTTTTCTCTGTTGGATTTGGAGTGCCCCGGGCAGTTCACTGGGAAATTTTTATTGTGTAATAAGGGAATATACATTAGTCAAACTTTGTTAGCTCTAAAGAACATCTGTTTTCAAATGAAGCAAAGGGCCTAATGAGGCTAAATATATAGAACACAGAAAATATATAAAAACATGTTCTGTCTCTACCTCAATGAATATGGCAGTAATTTTTCTCAGGGTTTTGTCCTTTCTATGGGTGATTTCTCTGCCATTCTGTTCTTATCCCTGTTCTTTATCATATCATAGTCTCCCAGGGACTATGGTGGTAGTATTCCATTTGGTATTTCAGGCAGTAAAAGAGTTTAGGGCTTGTACATTTAATACCTGTTTATGTTGTTCCCATCATTAAAAATAACATTGACAAGGAACAAAATCTTTCAAATTAAGTGTTCACAAGTCAAGTCTTATGTTAAGATTACTGTATTACACTTAATGTAAAAACATTTCAATATAGATGTTAAGGTTGCTAATGGGTTTGGTTGCCTTTTTGTTTTAGGCACTGGAAATACTGTAATTGAAGCTGTAAAGGTTCTTATAGAACATGGAGTTCAACCCAGTGTTATTATCCTACTCAGTCTCTTCTCCACTCCCCATGGTGAGTTTATCTTGCAGCTATAACCTGAGCTCCAGATAGTCATGAGATAGCACGTGTCTCTCTCTAGCCTCTCATCCCAAAGAAAAGTACAATTGTATGTCCATATTAAATTTGAATCTAGTTTTGGTAGTTATGATTTGTGTTTATCATCTCTAACCTTAGCTACAATATTAAACAATTTTTTGAGATAAGATGTCTCACACTGGTCTTGAACTCCTAGACTCGGGTGATCCTTATGTCCCATCTTCCTAAGCAACTGAAACCACAGGCATATATCAGCATGCCTGACTTGTTTTACACCATTCTGATGTTTAATTTTTTATTTCATTATTTTATGGGTATGCTATTTTGCCTGTGTGTACATGTTTTTGTACCCCAGAGGCTGGAGAAGGGTGTTGGATCCCCTGGAACTGGAATTGCAGATGTTTGTGACCTGGCATGTGTGTGATGGGAATTGAACCCAGGTTCAAATGGGAACATATTAATTACTGCATTGAAAATAACTGCAGTTGTTTTCCCAATTGGCCTTGTTTGGCTAGGACCCACGAATGGCTGAAAGGTCCCAATTTTCAATGGTTTCCCACCTGAGCCTGAGAATAGCTTTCAAACAGCATGGAACTTACAGTATTATTGAAGTAATCTTTGGAATGTGATGTGAAGATCAGATGCTTTTTGAAATAGATGTCTGCTTTAATGACATGTATGGAAGTCGTCTATTCTCCATTTCCTGTAAGAGATGTACCTAAATTGAGACTCTGGCTTTCTTACTAAACAATCTAGGCCAATTAGTAATACATGGTAAGGGAATAATCATAGACGCATGTATGAATTTAGTTTCTAGGGTCTTCATTATAAAGTCATTTAGCTTAAGAAATAATTTAAAAGTATGTAAATGATGATTGGGAATGTTGACACATGCTTGTAATTCCAGCACTTGGGAGGCAGAGACAAGAGGATCAATGCAAGGTCAAGACCAGCTTGCCCTACATAGAGAACCTAACTATATAACAAGACTGTTTCAAAAACAGCAACACCAAAAGGGATTTATAAGTAGTATCTATTACATACCTTACAAAAGTTGCTTTTGAAAAACATTTAGTGATATAAAAATATAGATAGCAAGTGTGAAAAAGCACCACAAATAAGACAATTATGTGCTGTGAAATGCATCTCTCCTCCAAAGTCTCAAGGACCTTTTCAGAGGCGTGGGAAGATCTTAAGAGCCAGAGGTAATAGATGACGTTATGGAAACTGTCTTATAGACAGAACAGTTCCACATATGAACTGGTAGAGGATGACAGCAAGCATAAAGTCCTGTGCAAGCTCAAGCCAGATAAAATCCCAGCATGCAACACAAGGTAGGGAAGGTAGACATGGAGTTCTACCATTAGCTGAGGGGCTACAGGCATTTGATAGCTGCTGGGAGAGGGAGAGTCAGGTTGTTTTTGTTTTTGTTTTTTCAATATTTTGACTCCTGGTAGGTCATCCCACCAAAGGAGTTGGGCAACACAGCCTGGGCTTGGTTGTTTTGAGCGTGAGGAGTGGAAAGAGAGAACACAAGCATACATGCAGTTGGGTAGTTAGGGCATGGGAAGGAGGTATGAATAAGATGGAAATATAATATATGCAATTCTCAAAGAATTGATATAAGTATAAAGAAATAGTGTGAATGTTACCAGTAAGTTTAGAGATGACCAATACAAATTATAACACTAATTACCAAAAGCAGACTTTAGCATGAAACCAAATCAATTTTACCTCAACATGAGTGGCTGGGAAGATAACACAATGCTATTTCTATTTTAGTTTTGAAATGTACACATAGTACTAATAGTGGTTATTTTCAGGTAAAATTTTAAATTACTTTCATTGTTAAGCTTTTGAGGGTTTTTTGGACATTTTTCTGAGTGTTCTGTAATGCATTGAAACTTGTTTAATGACTGAAAGAGAAATAGATGGTTTCTCTAGTTATGCTGTTCTCTCATTTTCAACTATCCTAGGTTTCAGGCAAAGCTTGAGAAGCCACAGCATGTGTGTTAAAAGGCTATTCTCAGTAGGCTGTTTTGTACTAATTGTGGCCTATTGGATTACTTTGGTCTTTTGTAACCTAAATGTACCTGTAATTCAAATACTAGTGGTGACAAAGGGTGATTTGCTTGATTGTCCATTGTATGTAGCACTGGTTGACATTGAAAACATTAAGATAATCCAGTAATTATCCACTTTTGGCAAAAGAAAAATAATCTCTTTAATTGTAGTTGTATTAATTGGAACAGTATCCCATTATTTGGCATTAAAGCTGAAAAATCCATATTATGTATGTAGCAGCTTTCATTGTGGCTCTTTGGTTTTGTGTCTCAGCTAGTCTAAATTCCTTGCCCAACCATCTCACCTAAAGAGCCAATCCTTATTTCTAAACAGCTATTATTCTCTGAATAACCGAAGACGCCTTACCTCTTGTTTCACAGTGTTTCGTTTGGAAAACTTTCATTTCATGTGATTTTCCTTTTAGGAGGTGCCATATTACTTGATTCTAGTCAAAGCTGGTATAATTGCATAATTTGATTTTCAGACCATATTATTGAGTGGGCAGGAGCATGGTCTGAACTACTCGCAAAGCTTTTAAGATAGTAGATAGTGTATAAAGAGATCAAATATGCCTAGCTCAGTATCTAAAGATGATTGTTTCCAATTTTCTGTCAGTATTAAGTCTGGAGACAATGATTATAAATTTCCTGAATTCTAACTGGTGTTACAAACATTCTTGTAGTAATAACAATTATTTTTATTTTTTGAAGGTGCCAAATCAATCATTCAAGAATTTCCAGAGATCACAATTCTAACTACTGAAGTTCATCCTGTTGCACCTACACATTTTGGACAGAAATACTTTGGAACAGACTAAGTTACTAACTTAGTAACTTAGAAACACTTTGCATAATATTATGGTTATAAATAGATTTCATATTTGATTTTACTAATTTGATTGAGAAATAATGGAGAAAATAATTAGGAATGCCTTTTATCATTGGAAGTAGGTGTAGCAACAAGAAATATTGGAAGTTTATTTGTTTGATTTGGTCATTTCTTCACATGTGGTACCAAATTAGATAGTGAAGCACACCCACTGCGCTTAGAAAGATGGAAATTATAATTGTCTGCTTATGGAAATCACTGAACCCTCACCCATTGCATGAAAACTGTTGAACTTGTGACCCTCTTGATTTGGAGTTTGCTTTCATCTGCAAAGATACCCAAACAAGAGTTAGTTCTTTGGAACACTGCAGTTTACATTTCTTTTCTTTCTTCCTTCCTTCCTTCCTTCCTTCCTTCCTTCCTTCCTTCCTTCCTTTCTTTCTTTCTCTTTCTTTTTTTGAGCTTAAATGAGGAAATTTATTTAGAAAGGGAAAAGGGAAGAAACATAGAGGCACCAGGAATAGAAGAGGAGAGAGGGGGAGAGAGTGGGGGGAAGAGAAAAAGAGGTGGGTTATCTGGTGGCCAACCAAAAGAGAGAGAGAGAGAGAGATAGTTTACATTTTCTTTACTGTGCTTTTAGCTCTAGGTTGGTTTTCTGTATGTGGCTGTTGTCACCCTCCATACTCTGTATTTCCTTGTACTATATACACAGGTTCCTTGGAGAAGAGAGAACAAGACTATATCCTGGAATTTTATATTACCATTACTATCCTTGCTTAAGTTTCAGACCCAGGGTGTCTGGTTAACTCTTTAGCTAAACTGTTGTGTTCCTTATGACTCATTTCCCAAACTGGGTATTGAGGGAAGGTGCTTGCCAAGATGTAATACAGTGAAAAAGATGGCAGGCTCTTTTCAGTATCTGGATCTGTAACATGAATCTACAGAGACTGAAGCACAGATGCCTGATACCAACAAGAGACAATTCCTCTACAAAGGAATTGGTGATTTTTTTTTCTTAAGGTGTGCAGGGCAGCATAGGCTTTGCTGCATTTCATGGCTGATAAGTAAATCAACACGGTTCTTCTTAATTTAGTTGTTTCTACTAGTTGTCTTTGGTTTGGAACTTAGTTATTTTGCATGTTTACACTATAGCTGTAATAAAGTAGAGAAAAACCAGTGTTCTTTAAAAATATGTAAGGTTTCTATGTGCTCATATTTAAGCTTCTGAAAGGGAGAAAAACAATCTTAGACTTAATCTTTGCACTTTTGAAATGTGCTTATAAAACCCTGATCCCACTTTACATTGCTATTAAAACTTCTAACTGTGGTGGCTGGATGATTACTTGATTAATTACACTCTCATGGCCCCCACACACAGCTGTGTGGGATTCTGTTCCAAAGCATAAGAAAGAGCAGAAAGTAGTTTCATAGACAGAATCAAAGCTGTAAAGATCATCGAGGGTCAGGGGAAGAAAGCACCCTTGAGTAGATTGACTGGATTTTACCCTCTGATTCTAGACAACTAGGGTTCACTGTACTTTTACTTTTGTTGCTGTTTGTTTAGGACAGGGTTTTTCTGTGTAGTCCTGGCTGTCCTGGAACTTGCTCTGTAGATCAGGCTGGCCTCGAACTTACAGAGATCTGCCTGTCCCTGCCTCCACAGTGCTGGGATTAAAGGCACGTGCCACCATACCCAGCTATTTTAGTTTGGAAGACTATCATGTACTAAAATTAAAATTCATCTAACAGTTCTTCCATGACAGAATGTTGCCTTCAAGTTCTTACTGATTTTTTTTTTTTTTTTTTTTTTTTTTTTAAGATCAGGTCTCATTGTATAGCCCTGGCTGGCCTGGGATTTCTTATGTAGACCAGGCTCGCTTGGAAGTCACAGAACTCCTCCTGCCTCTTGAGTGCTGGGATTAAAGGTGTTCACCACCTTGCCCAGCTGAAAGTTGTATTTAATTAGGTGTCCCAGGAATGAGGTAACAAATTTAGATAAACCAGATGTTATGTTGTTATTGCATTGGATCAGTTGGAAAGATGATGCTCACTTATCTGTGTGTGGTAGTTCATTCATGTAACCTGACATTGAGGAGGTTGAGGTAGGAGGATTTTGAGTTTGAGGGTAGTAGCTTTGGTAACTGAGCCTGAATTTATCTTGATTTATTTTTTTATTTTTTTTATTTATTTTTTTTTGTTTGTTTGTTTTTTGTTTTTGCCTGCCAACCTAAGAATTGCTGCAACTGAATTGAATTGGTGCTTCTTTGGACTGCCGTATTTCGTTTGAAGTGCTTTCCAGAACATGAGATGAGTTTTTGTTCAACTGCAGGCATAAAACCATATTCCAAGTAAATTCTTTTTTGTTTTGAAACATGATCTTCTGTAGCTCAGGCTGGCTTTGAACTTTCTGTGTAGTCAACTCTGACCTTGATTCATTGCCTCGCCTGAGTTCTGGGATGAAGGGCTTAAAACCATCATGCCCATCTTAAGTTCTTTTTATATCATTAACCACTTAGACCCAAATGTCTGTTGCTTTTCAGCAATGAACATGATTAAAAGCGAACTACATTTGATTCCCACATGGAAAGCCTAGTATAAACAGTAGGAAATATCCAATAAGGTCATATTCCCCACTGATGGTTGTACCCTACACTACTGCAGATAAAACTCTGCTCTCTGAATTTTGGAATGTTTTATCAAACAAATTCTTACTTGCAGGGTTAATCACTTGCAGGACTCTATTTTCTAAAGTCAACATAAGATTAACAGACTACTGAAAGCAAGATTGACTTTAGTGACATGAACTTTAGAGCAATATAAATTGTGTAGGTTCTTTATTGAAGAATAAAGGCTGAAGCAAAAATGACATGCAAATAAAAAATAGCAGTGATTCTCAAAGTATGAACTGCATCATAATACTTAGAGGGCTATAGATTGCTGGACCCGACCTCTACAGTTTCTGAATCAATGTTTTGATTTCCAACATTTCTCCTTTTTATAATATAAGCATTAAAGGATGTAAAACTTCTTATAAGGATTTAGCATTTTTATAGGTTTTTATTTTCATTCAGGTAAAAAATATTTTCTCATTTTTTTTATTTCTTCAACCCAGGGTCATTTAAAATTGTCAGCTAATTGTGAATATTCATGCCATTTTCCCATATATTTTCTTTGGTATTATTTCCTAATTTAATTCCGTTATAGTCAGAGGATATAATTGTTATGTTTTGAATCCTTTTAATTATGAGGATTTTTGACATAGTATCTCGTCTATAAACTATTGTCATTTGGAATGTCTTCCACTCTTACTTGGAGTATATACAGATCCTGTATTGTTTGCTAGGAATATCAGGTTAAGTTGGTTGATAAAGCTGTTAATTTTTTCTACTCCTTCACTTATTTTTCTGTCCCCTTGTTCTGTTGATTATTAGAAAGATATTTCAAGCTCAGATTAAAGTGTTGTGTTTGTTTCTTCTTTCAGTTCTATGAAAGTTTTGCTTTGTGTATTTTGAAGCATTCTTGTTAGGTTCAAACTGTTAGGCTTCTTATAGTCTCTTGAGGATATGACCCTTTGCAATTTGGAGATGATCCAGTTTGTACCTGTTAATGCTGAAATCTTTTTTAGCCGATGATAATGATCCCAGCTTTCTTTTTACTAGCTTTACTTTTTAACATGTTTATGTTTTAATCACAATGTCTTCTAGACAACTTTACGGCTGTGTGTTGCCTTCTAAAAAATCCAAATTGACAGTGTCTGCCTTTTGTTGAAGTGTTTAGATAATTTCAAGTCATGCAATTATTGATATGATTGGTTTTAGATCTCCCGTCATGCTGTTTGCCTGCTATTTGTTCTACATCTTCCTCATTTTCACCTTCTTTTGAATTGAGTATTATTCATAATTCTATTTTATATCTTAATGATGCTTGTGTCAACTCTCTCCACTGAGTCCACCCTTTGGGGCACTGGCCCAGTCCCTTCCCTTCTCTCTTTTTGAGACAGAGTCTCTATTATATAGCTCTGGCTGTCCTGAAATTTACTGTGTAGACCAGGCTGTCCTCGAACTTACAGTGCTGGGACTAAAGGCATGTACCACCACGCTTGGATAGCCCAGTCTGCCTTAAAGGAAGGCTGTTGTATTTTTCTGACCATTTGCATATATAGCAGTTATATAGCAGATATATTATAGAAATAATAGCATGAGTATATCCAACATTTGAAGGATTCCATGTGAAATATAAATAGACTTGAAGCAGTTAATCCATCTTATAAAGCCATTATACACACCACAATATTTTTATATTAATATGATTATTTTCCCTTTGTCTGCCATTATTTGAATTTTATGATAAGCTTATATTAAAGTGCTTATTATATTAGTTTGTTAACTTCTCATATAAGTCAGTTTCCTGAAGAAACTTAAATTGTTCAATACATATAATTATCAATGCATTCAGTGACCTGTTTAACGTACTTGAATTTCACCAGTAATGCTCACCTTCTAACATATCACACAGAGATAGCATAGTTGCTTTATTCCACAGGTCACTGATATAACCATTACATCTTCCTCCAAATAATTGGCTCTTAACCATGTGCCAGATGTTCCTAGGGAAAAGCAATATCACAATGCAGCCAGATTTGTTTATGTCCAGGTTCCAAGTCAGTATATGAGTTTATTTGAGCTGTTGTAACAAAATACCAGAGTGCAGGGTTCTAACAGAAACAGTTTTGGAGACAACAGATCTAAGATCAAAGTGTTGATATGTTTGTGTACTTTTCTTGGTCTTCCCTCTGTATGCTCTTGGTGTTCCTTTGTATGTTCAGATTTTCTCTTCATATGGATTGTAGTCAGATTGTATTAGGGCCTATTTAATATCTTTGTTTTAACCAAATCACTTTCTTAAAAGCCCTAGCTCCAATATAGTCACATTCTGAGATATTGGGGATTAGAGCTTCAATATGGATTAAGGAGCCACTTAATTGTAACAACAAAACTGGTCATCTTCTGTCAATCCACAGGCTTTTACTGAGACTGTTTCTGTATGTGTTATGTAGCAGGGCTGTTTCTTTTCTGTATTATTATTACTTTTTATTTTTGAGATAGCATTTCATTGTATAGCCCTGGCTAGCCTGGTGCTCACTATGCAGACCAGGCGGCCTTGAACTCACAGAGATTCACCTGCTTCTGCTTCTGAAGTGGTGAGATTAAAGGTGTGTACCACCACTCCTGGCAGGGTGGGTTTCTTTTGGCAAATTTAAGGGTGTAGTTTAGAATTATTTCTACTTTTGCTGTGAAATCA